GTAAGGGAAACGCTCTTGGGCAAGCTGACCATGGACGAGCAGCGGCCCACCCTGCCTTCCCCGCCCGGCCCTGACCCTGGGTCGTTACAGTAATGGGGAAGCTGAACATGGACGTGCGCCTACCCGCCATGGCAGGGCAACGAGGCGACTTTTTAAACAAATAAGCTTCGCCGCGAGAACTTAGTGGCATCAATTTGAGGACTTTTTGGTCTCACTTTGAGAACCAACTGGCCTCAATGCACAATGTGATGGACTAAACGGGTGGAAACCGAATGATATTACGGTCGCTCCGACACGGCCTCGAGATACATTGTAAATTTACATGCACTTTCTTTCGACAAATTGATCGACGAGCAAAAAAACGTTAACACTTCGTGTAAACTGCGAAACAAACCCTTGATAAAGAAAACTAAATTTTACACCTTAATTTAAAGAAAGTAATACTTTTCTTTTAAAACTCAGTTTCTGGAAAGTTTACGTGACATTGTTGTGAGTTGTCTTTTGTCTCAGCCCCATAATGCACCATGGCCCCTGCGGCACGGAACAGTATGCAAACCCGCAACACAGAATATAGAGGTGTTCGTTCTGATCACTTGGGAACTGGATTTAAACTGTGTTGTCGGTGTGGTCACATGATGTGTGCACTGTGCACCGCAGAAGGTTTCTTGACTTCACAAATTCTCCTTGGATGCATAAACATTCTAGAAATTTTCTTCATTTAGCTCTAGCTCTCTGTTTTGGATACACTCAACAAAGGGGCGGCGGGGCGGCGGGGCGGCGGGGCGGCGCGGTTGGCGAGGCGAGGCCTCGAGCACAGTGTTGATTGTTGGTGGTATTGAAATAATGTGAAATTGGCGTGCAACAAGTGGGTGCGGCGACATCACGCTCCGGCCCCCCGCGCGCGCCCCGTGTGGTAGAAACGGGTCCGTTTAAAAAAGGTTTTTGTAAATTTACGACAATGTTTTGTGAATTGAAATCACATAAAATGCTCCCAATTTACTATGATAAATTTAGCAGAAATGCAGAGCTCTACTGGCAACTCCTTTTGGCAGTGTGCGGGCTTGCTTGGCATGCCAGCGCCACCAAACCCTCGGCAAG